CTCTTTTTGCTCTACTTTCTGAGAGGATGCCTCAACTTTATATTAAAATAATTCAACTAAATTTAAAAATTTTACTATTTTTTTTAATTTCCAAAAGATCTTTTTGTTTTATGAATAAGCTTTATATAGCTTTACATTCTTGTTTCAGGGTTGTATTATCTTTTTTTTTCCTTTTTACCAAGCAATACTTTTTAATAAACATTTCATGATTACATATCTCTGTCTCCAGTTAATTTGAAGATACTTTACATAAATGTTCTTGCAATGGCAGTACACATTTTGGTTATTTTATTACATTGTTTTAATTAAGTAAATAATGAGTAAATAGCATGATTGCAGAGGCTGTTTTCAGTGTTTAGCTAAATATATGACTTAGATTTCAGTGCTTCTTTATTGCCTCATGTTTCCTTTTTGTGTATTTTTTTCTTATTTGAAGTATAGCTGATTTACAATGTTGTGTTTTAAGTGTATAGCAAAGTGATTCACTTATACACACACACACACACATATTCTTCAGATTCTTTTCCATTTAGGTTATTGTAAGATATTAAATATGTATTATCTTCTATTATTTTTCCAAAGACATTAGAGAATTTTCCAAATGAAGCTTTCTTTTGCTTCTGCATTATCTGTTTTGTCTGAGTTCCTTTTTTCCTGTTTATTTTGATTTTTTTTTAAATTACAGGTTTTTTCCCCAAACATCTCATGAACTGTGTTGTTGATTTACTAAAACGATGATTGGAAACTCAGCATGAGTGAGTGAGGGCTATCATTTGGTGGGCTTCACTGTAGGATAATCTGGTGTGGACATGACCATTTCATGCGGGAGTGCCTCAGTATCTGTAGGTCAGTATCTGTACCTCATTTTCCCTCAACCTGGTCAGTTTTCTTAGAGAGGAATTGTCTAATCTCCAGCCTGGGTGAGGCTGACTGGGAGAGATGTTGGGGAGTGGTCACTATATTCAGGATGCAGATTTTCATTTAGTCCGTCTAATTTTAATATGACAGTCACTCTGGCCTCAACTGCACCTGGTGTCTGAGTTTAGAATCTCTTAGGTCTGTTGTCTTTAGATAATACAATTTATTATCCTTTGTCAGGGATAAGGAGAGGAACCTATATTGCAGTCAAGATTCATTTAGTGTTACCCACACCTTTACCACTTTCTATGCTTCCTTTAGAATCTCCTTTAGTGATAAACTTCCAGATGTGGTAAAGACAGCCAGCTGTCCACTGAAGACTTTAAGTTCCCCTTCCGTAGTGTAGAGCTGTTGCTGGCAAGAGACTCTCCAATCACAGACCATGTTTCTCAGGCCCCTCACCCCACCCCTTGCACCTATGCAAAGCTGTAAGACTAATTCTTACCAATAGATTGTGAGTAGAAGTGAAGAGTGTCACTTTTGGGCTAACGTGGCTATAAGCAAATGTGCTTCTTCCACGCCATGTTTAACCAGCTGCCACCTGAAGTTGAGACTCCGAGGGGCCAAGGCAATGACAAAG